TATATAATTGTTCAACTGTAACACTGTTTCGGCTCCTAGCCGCCATGCCGCTCGAAGGAAGCACGAGGGCTGGGATACGCCCATGCCCAAAAGTTGAGATGCAGAGATCGGATTAGAACAACTATGTATCCGGAGACGCTTTGCACAGTTACAGGTATTCGCTGGCCAGAGCACGAGGGCTGGGATACTGCCATGCCCAAAAGTTGAGATGCAGAGATCGGATTAGAACATCTATGTATCCGGAGACGCTTTGCACAGCTACAGGTATTCAGCTGCCCAGACAATCGAACTTTCACCCTTTTCGGTTCTGATAAACAATAGCCATCTACCACTGATCCAAGCTTGATTGGTTCACCATTTCGATGGACTTTACATAACTAATATACGCCTGAGTCAGAATACGAGACACCCAAACAGTTGTCTCTGTTCAATTTGTGTCGTTCTTGCCATTTTACTTAAAAAGGAAATAACTCCATCATAAACACCTGCCTGACTGAGTGCTGATGAACACTTAGAGAACGTCCCAAAGACGAGATTCATTCGAGTCATATAGACTCACTTTTTATCAACTTAAGGATATCCTACGAGGAGGAAATATCACCAACCACATCGGGTCCATGGGCTCCTGATTAGCTGGCATATGGGAGTTTAGTGGGTAGCCTCATGAATCGAACTACCTTCAGCAAAATAGCAATACTGGACGGTTGTTAGTAATCCTTTGGCATGAGTTAACTGAAACAGGCGACCCGGGTGGTGGATATGAATGCCCACGTTAAGCCTGTGACTTTTGTTCTTCATGTCCACGATGTCGTGAAGCTCTACCCTAAGCAGAAGAAGGGAAAGATCAAGAAAAAACATTACACTTTGCAGCGAATCGCTGAACACTGAATAAAATCAAAGGATTTTTACATGTCACTGGGAGATTGTCGTGCGCCATTTATTCCCAACAAGAGCCGCCACGTAAAGATAATACCAAATGAATCACCGATCCACCTTGAATTTTGTAGTCAGATACGACTTTTTCATCATGCATCTGCTTGCCAGAAAAAATCAGTCGTTGCTGAGGTGGAGGTATGCCTTCTTTCTCCTCAATTCGTTCTTTGATTCGCTCCACTTTGTCTGTGGGTTCGATGTCGATCTCAATCTCTTTGCCAGTAAGGGTTTTCACCTTGATCAACATACTACAAATTAGGAAACAGAAGAGTATGCCACTAGTACCAGGTCAAACAATGCACTCGAATTTATAAAAAAAAACTGAAACGCGAAGCAAGAAACACATGCGGCTTGCTACAGCTCCATATTGTCGCTAAACCAAAAAGCTGAACAATTAAGTATCGTGCACATGGAAAGTAGCTAACGCTTTTCCCAAAAATGAACGGAGGAACGCCAGATTTTTGTGGCTCAAACAGAAAAATGACCTACAGAAACCAGTAATGCTCTGAAAAAGATGCTTTCTTGATGTATTCCCCTGAAAAGAACGGACAAATCCGGTCACAGTGGAGGTGGCCGTTATCCCGATAGGATAATTCTTGGAATAATTCTTAGATAACTCAGTCCTCGCAACTGTTCCACGATAAAATGAATTGCGGGTGGGGGAGTAAGGGAATCTGCCAGTAGTTTGTAATATCCAGTGGTTTTCAACGTCCACTGGACATGGGTTTGGTGTCTAGTGTTTATTGTCAGTTCATCACTATCAACTAGGAACCGTGTGCAAATGATACAACAGTCCGGTGGCACCAGTTTTTCACTAGTGGATAATGCGTAAACAAAACGAAACTTACCATTGCAAATAGCGAATTAGAGCACCAAAGTGCTGGCCCAGTTATTACGACTTAAGTGTTGGATCGCTCCCCGTAAATCTCGGATGGGTGAGAATGTTGAGCTGTGCTTTAAAACCGATAGCTCGCAGACAAAAATGTCATTTGATACGAGACCGGTGAACGGCTGTTGACCAGGGCATCATCATCATCATCAATCATCAAGGACAGCAACATCAGTGTTGCCACTGATGCTTCACTACCGTACAACCATAAGGTTTGTCTAGTTATATATATATATATATATATATA